ACCACTTGATATGCAGTCCAGGAATCCGGGCTTCCAATCCCAGAGACTCCAGGCGACATTTTCAAAACAAAAGAAAAAAAAAAACCCTCAAGACGAGGGAAAGAGGCTCGCTCATGTCTCGGCGATACGTTCCATCCCAGCTCAGCCGCGAAGATAGATCCGCACATATCGTCCCATCTCGGTTCGTGATACTATGCGAGGCACCTCCGGGAGGTCCCATCACCGGATCCAATCGTGTCGCGTGCATCAACTCCCGGCCTGCCATTGTTACCCTTGATCCCCGCCCATTTCGTCACATCACCTTCACAGGCAGCATCTACACCCCTCCCCTGTGCCTATCATATGGGTGGTCTCACCAAGTCGGACCAAGTACAAGTCCCAAAGCCCAGTAAACCGACTGTTTGGTCAAAGGGAACTCCTGCTCAAGGTTCGTGTCTTGGCCACTGACAACGAGAGGAGTGTGTTGTCACGCCTCGGAACGACATCTTGGATCCTAACGACGCAGGTGGGGGGGAGGGTGCAACGCGAATACGCTTCGTCCACGCATTGCAGACTGTCAGACACACATGAAAGTCCCCGTTCCCGCCACCAAACACACATATCCACATGAAAGAAAAAAAAAAAGAAAAAAGGGAATAGAAGAATAAAAAAAAAAGAAATTAAAAAGAAAAGGATATGCAAAGGAAAAAAGACAAGGAGAAAGAAAATTCAGCAGTGAGAGAATAAAAGAACAGAGAAAACATCGAAATTTTAACAACACGCCCTTCCGCTGTCACTCTGGCAGAGGTGGCGTTCATCAGCGGACAAGCCCGGCTCTCCTCGATTCTTCAACACGCATCCACCACGGCACCCTTGGGTGTAACTGATTCAATGTGGCGGCTTGGCTGTCAGACCCAAATAGTGAAATTTGAATTGTGAACGTAAAAGTGCTGCAGCGTTGGGCGAAGAGGTGGAAACTGCGGAGAGGCTTCAATTCAGCGACACCACGCTGATAGACCATCAGTGCAAGAAAATAATAGAAACAAACACACAGCAAGAAAGCAGAAGCCTTTTGCTTCTCCGTTGAGAGCAATTTCCGGGGGGTGTCCGCGCAATAAGGGGCGCTAATCGTATCCGGGCCCAGCTGGCCAGCTTATGGGATACGCAACAACAACGCAAAGCGCTTCCGCATATGCCCCTTCTGCCCAGCTTTACAGGCCCAAGGCCAGCATCCCAGCCACAAGCCACAGAAAATGAATGGACGAGAACCAGTCCGTTCATGCAGTTGACATGGGTGCTATTCGCTCTTGGCTTGGGTCACTTTTGGGTCGCTTGGGTCCAGCTGCAGCCTCAGCCAGCCGGCCTCAGCCAGCCAGCCCGCCCACCCGTGCGCCCCCCCGGTCTGGACGGCGAGTGCAGACATTGTGTGTGTGAGGGTGAGCTTGTTTTCATTTCTTGCTGTTCTGCATGTCTCTTGGACGGAACGCAGTCCTGGACAGGATAGCCCCGTCTTGCGCTGTTCTCCGTGCGTTCTGCGACATGCATCTGGGTTGGTACAATGTGGGCGTCAGCGGCGATACCGTCAAGCTGGCACAAAGTTGCGGGTATGATGACTCCCATGGCGCCCTCTTCGCATTTGGGAACCCGACTTTGTCCTGTGTTCCAGTTGGTCTCCCGTAGTTTGTCGCCAAGTGGAATATGTTCCCTCCTCTTCGAGGTCACACATTCTTCTTCCATTGTCCTCTAGGTACCGTTTAACTTGAACCTGCCCGGGAATCCAGGGACACATTTTCAAATGTACCATGATTCTGCCCCATTGCGCGCATGGTTTAAGTTTCATCCCGCCAAATGCTACGCACATGGGACGCGACGGATGAGTGGCAAGGTGATTCTGCATATATGGCTTTGTTCCTGGAGACTTGGACCCAAGAAGCCACAGGATTATCGTCGTGCCCTTTGCCCCTGCTAGTGTCAGTGTCGTGAAGACACGAGATGGAGGAGGCGAACTGAGATTCAACGCTGTGCAATTCATCTGTCAACAAAACTGGAACCGGCCGCAGCTACTCCAGAGTCCACCGTGACACCAGACGATCTGCTATCCTGGATTCTCTGCTATGTGATAGGGTGGTGCGATTGTGTGGGCGCACACGGTCCCCCTCGAGGTAGCCCTTTCGGTCTTCTCACAGTGCTCTTGATCATCGGCCCGTATGACGCTCCCAGGACAGACAGTATTGAACTGAATATATGGGGGGGGCCTGGGCGACTCGGGTATTTCTTGGCCCGGGAACTGGGCCGTTGGACATGGAGCTTTGCCATGCCACCCGGCCTTTTGTTTCGACCCGCTCGGATATATAAGATCCCCCGATGACTGCGAGAACATTGAACGATCGTTTCGGGGGATAATGGGACACGCCCATTACCACGCATCGCTGTTGCCCCAAAAGGAATAAGTAGGTAGTGTCAATGTTGGACAAGGGGGGCAAAATGAGAATGGAGGCAGTCAAGTCGAATGAGCAGTGAGGTTTCTGCAACGAGGACCGTTGTGATCACTGATGATCCGAATAATCGATCGTCCACCGTGGATGAAAATAGATCGTGCGCATCATGCCCGTTGCTCTAGGCCACATGGCCGTGGCCGTCTTGGAGCGTCGCCCCCGCGACACAGCACAGCCGGTTTCTTTGGCCACTCTATTCGTACTAGAAGCAGAAGAAGCTCCTGGCTGGTCGCCTCTAGCTCGGACTTCAGAGTCCAAAAACAGTCGACTTGCTGGGCATCCGTGACCAATGAAAGAGATGGGTTTGAGATTGTAGAAAGCCCAGCCAGCTGGTGTCGGGGAACCGCCCTTTCCATTGTGGTCGCCGAGCACATGAGATGATTCCCCGCAGATTCACTTGCTCGCTTCAGCTTTTGTGGGAGCTGGGGGAGGTAGGAATTTCAAACTTGGAAACATACCCCGCCGCCCCGACTTACAAGAGCAGATCCGAACCAGATCGCAATGTCATGAGTGGCAGTGACAAAGAAATGTGCCCGATTTCATCAAAATTCTGTCATGAAATCCTGCGCCCACGGCTCAGTCTTCTTTTTGACCAGCGACTCGAGTGCAACTTTTTTATGCGCAACAGTCATGTATTGGCATACTAGGCAGGACGCTGCGAGAAGGTGCATTCGATTTTGTTGGTTCATATTTTCTGCTGGACTGCAGACTCGGCTCGCCTCAAATGAAGTAGATTCTCTAAATCTCCAGTAAGGTTTCTGTCTTTTTCTCCTCTCCCGCCCATTGAATGTTGATGTGCGCTCGTGAAGCTGATTCCGCCATCTGGCAGGGACAGGGACGAACACTACCGCGAACCGACCGCCAAATGCAGAACAGTGCCGTGCCACAATCCAGGCACTCCAATGCCGAGTCTCGATCGTTGTAAATCCGATTGCGCATTTACCAAGACAGCCTCTTCGATTCGAAAGCCGAGCCCATCAATGATGTCTTGACGCCTATCGCATGGGTATGACTATGCACCACTCGCAGCTCGAACGCCATCGATTGATCTATATCAGTCAATAGTGCCGTGTCGGCCTCGAAAAGGAAAACCCTCCACATGTCCGGATTCATTGCTCGTCGACGGCATAGGGCGCGGTGCGTCTGGTAGCCAAATATTGTCGACGGCATCCGGGTTTAACGGGCAGCTTTGGCTGTCTGACCATGCGTGGCCGACCACCCGCACGCAACTCACCCACTTCGTCACCGCAGCTTGATGAGAACTTTGAAAGCCGGCAATTTGCGGATCTTGGCACCGGATGTAACATCACATCAACGTTAGGGCTCCACAGTCTCACAGCAATTATCCGACGAGATCCGAATTGGTTGCTTATCTGTAGTGAGGCAAAAGCAAACCCGCCTGCACCACGTGTAGTCCTTTGAATCTTGATGTAGGGCGTTACCTTTCGCCCCATGGTTAGCCAGGGGAAGAATCCACAGATGTGCAACCTTCAAAGTGCGCGATCTGCGTGGCTGGTGTCGAATGCCAAGGACTTCGGGGGCCGGTGTCTGATTCAATGTGACATCTCGGTCAACTCCGCGACAGGCAGCCACTTGCAGGGTCCGTTGGCTTTTCCGCTGGTTTGGAACACTTGGGCTTGGAAACGTTTGTTGGACTCGGCAAGGTTAGCGCGGCGGAATGCATCGTCATGGACCAGGTTTCCTGATGCTTCTGTATTGACCTGAAGACGTGGGGTGTCAATGGCGTTTTTGCAAACTCGGGCAGCGACGGTTTCGTGGCATAATGTTGGCCGACAAAGGGCGGGACTGACAGGGTAAAGTAAAGTGACGACAGATGAAGGGCCAGCTGCCCTGCAGCAGGAAATGAAGCTTCACTAGCTGGACCTTGAGCAAGCCACCAAACGTTTTTGTCGTCCTGCGCCGCGGTAGGCTGCTTAAGCCCATGCCCGGAGTCCGAGACCGTGAATCCCCAAGCTTCAACAGAGGGGAAAGGTGGTGGTAACACGAACAGAATGGAATGCCTGCGAACCGTACACGGGCGTGGCACTCCTCCGCCTCGAGTCGACGAAGAGGGCGACTGAAAGGCGGGATCCGGACCTCGGTATTTTTCTCTTCCTTTTCAAGCAGAGGCGGCGAAGAGAGAGACGCTGACGAGGTGTCCAACTCAACGGTGGGTACTTCGGTATACATCACAAGAACGAGAGCCGCCAACAACGTGCTTGCTCAGACATGGGGTCTGCTCCTTCCCCGTTCCGTGGGACCGCTTGGCACTTGCAACGTCAATCGCTCGATCGCACTTGCCACTGTTCGGTGCGTGACCTGCCTGCTAAAAAACATGTCATCGCATCACGTTGATTTCTGCAGCACTTGCTGTTCTGAATTTCAAATAGTGCTTGCACGAGGCGCACTCCGCATACAAAAAACACATGCGAGAAAATGAGCCGGGTAAAAAAACAAATAAAGATGTCTGCTCCAGTGCGTTTATCTGCGAGGACAAAAATGAAAGAGAAAAGAAATCTTTCTGAATGGACAAACGGGGAATCGAACCCCGGACCACTCCCAAGCCATTATCGGGAATCCCGAAACATGCTAAGGGAGTATTATACCACTAAACCATTCGCCCATTTGTAATGTCAGATTGATAGATACTGAGCTACATACACTGATTGCAAGCTCAGTCACAGCAACAGACATTTTTGCCACAATGAAGTGCTTGAAGTTGGGCGTTGTGGGATGGTCCGCGGCCGTCGTCATGGGCTGCCTCAGATTCCCGGCGGTTGCGGCCGTGGCGGGCGCCAAATAGACGACTGCTCATTCAAATGGTTGTTTTTCCTGTTTCTGATTGGACACTATTCTTGGCGATTCGTTTCACATGTCTTTTCTTTTCCTTTCTTTTTTTTTCCCGCTTCTTTTGCGTCGTCATCAATTGCGGCCGCCGCCCCGCGATTTGCCTGAGCATTCGAGACCCCGCGGCCGCAGCTCCAAGATCCAGGTCCAGGTCCAGGTCCAACGTCAGCGCCAGCGGGTGCGTGGAAGAAGAAAAGACCCGCGGCCAGAAACTCGAGCTACGTTTTCCGTCTCGTCACTGTCGTCACTGGTGCTTCAACAATCTCTGCCTTCGTGACTGCATCAGCACGCATACCTCGTTCTTGTCGCGGAAGAAAGTCGTGCGCATCCCCGCCCTGTTGAACTCTGTCGTCGCCATCATCTGCCACCATGGCTTCCGGAAGCAATGTAGGCGCGATTCCCAAGCCCTTTGCTTCATCTTCCCTTTATTTTGCTGAGCTGCTGCTAAGGATTTGAACCTCTATTTTTCTTCTGCAGGACCCGAAGCTCCTCTACGCCATCGATGGCATCAAGGCCTACCACATAGCGCAGGGCACCGAAGAAGCACTCAATTCTTCCGGTCCGCAGACCCTCTCGTTGCTCATGGTCCCGACCTCGTCTGGCTTTGCCGCCGCCTCGGGCTTCGGATCGGGCGAAGAGGATTTCTATCTGCATCTTCACTTGCCGCCCGAGCTTGACCTGCCTCTCCCGGCCACGACGCAGATCTACCACCAGCCCCCGACGAGCTACCTGATTCCGCGGTGGGATCTCGGCCCCAACAGCGGCGCCTTCACACGCATCGAGTTCCCGGCCGTGGGTTCCCGCGCCGGCCTCCAGGAAGACGTCGATACCTTTGAGACCATTCTCGCGCAGTGCACTGCGTTTCTGGAGCGCGCCCCGCCGCCCGCGCCCAAGAAGAGCAAGACGGCTCCCGGTGCGGCGTCTTCGGCCAAGCCAAGATCGGATGGAGCAAAGAATGAGGCGCCGCCCGCTTATGACCCTGCCGGGTTTAACAAAGGGGAGGGCTATGTTCAGGGCAGCGTGAGCTCAACCTCCAAGGAAGCCGCGGGAGGCCGTATCGTTTTGGTGGACGAGGAAGATGGTAGTGTTGTTGGTGAGCTGGGCGACGGATACCAAGTTGTAGAAGACACGGCCATCAAGCCTGGGTCCAAAGGTGTGTTGTGCCGAGTTTATTTGATTGAAAAAAAAAAAGAAAAGAAAAGAAAAGAGAGAGAGAGAGAAGAAAAGGAGAAAAGAACAAGAAAAAAAAAATACATCCGTTTGCCTACGTCACCCTAATACCAGTCGCGATGCAGATCCCGTCGAAATTTCACTGCCTACGGATGCCTCACAGGCAATCAATGTTCACCCCGCTCCAGGGTATCACGATGAGGAGGGGGGCGACAAAGACGACGAGGGAGACAAGATGCATCCGGCCTACAAAAAGTCCACCATTGTCAACATGGGAATGCGAGCGTCTCGTCTCCTCATCACGACATCAGACTACGTTGCGCAGACCCTCAGCAGCCAGGCCGAAAACTACACCAAGAACAGCCAGCCCGCCGCCAAGCCCGTCACATTCACGCCTACGACTCACGCGCACATCCGCAGGATCAATCAATTCTCCACCAAGGCCGCGGGCTTATCTGCCTCGACAGTCGGGTCCATCTCCAAGGTGGCGCAGAACTTGGGCGCCAATCTGGCCAAGCGGAAAGACGGACGTGCGCGTGGGTTCGACAAGGACGGCAACGTCATCGACACTTACAAGCCGGGAATGCTCAACAAGAGCCTCATGGCCTTTAGCACCGTCGTGGATGGCATGGAGCAAGCCGGACGCAGCTTGCTGACCAGCACCACGTCCAGTGTCAGCCACGTCGTCGAGCACAAATGGGGCCCCGAGGCCGGCGAGGTGTCTCGCAATCTCGGTGCGGGCGTCAAGAACGTTGGGCTCGTCTACATTGACGTGACGGGTGTTTCCCGACGCGCGGTCCTGAAGAGCGTGGCCAAGGGCATGGTGGTGGGAAATGTCAAGGGCGGCGGCAAGGTCATTGTGGGCGGTGGCAGGGACACGAATGAGCCAGGTGGTTCCGCGGCCGAGGGCAGTCGGGATGGGAACGGCAAGGGCAACGGCAAGAAGAACGAGGCCCAGGATACTGCGCGTGGTGACGGTGCGAATATTGCGGTCGGCGGCGGCAAGGAAGGGAATGGGAAAAAGGCCGTCGCAGATGGCACTCGCAGGCGGGACGGTAGTTGAGGGTAATCGTGAAGAAATGTGATGATGGTGTGTGGCGATGGCACTGGGTATAGTATAGATGCATGCTTGGGTATATATAATAGGTACTAGGTAGGTTATCGACATTTTAATTTGAGAGTGGACGTGGACGTGACTGGCAACGATCGATTAAAAAAAAATGCATCCATGTCTGGACGTCACGTGCGAGCGTGCTGGCCCTCGCGTCGCCGGCCCATCAACTCCACGCATCGCACGTCTCGCCACGTCTCGTCATGTTTCGTCTGGTCACATCACGGGTGGTGATGGTCCATCACAACTGGCTCCACCCACTCCCAACTGAAAGGGCAATTTAATTTTTGACTACTTTGGCCTAAAACGAACCAAAAGCCACCTGTGCCCCGCCACCGAAAAAA